TGCATGCTTCAGTGTTGCTTGCCTCGAAGCGAGCATAGAAGTGGTTTAGCTCGTCTGGTAGGCTTGTGTCACTGGGCAGCTCGCGGCTGTGCTTCCCTTTGTAGTCTGTAATAGTTTTCAAGCCCTGCCACATCCGACGAGCGTCAGAGCCAGTGTAGTACGATTCAATCTTAGTCCTGTATTGACTCTTTGCCTGTTTGATGGTTCGTCGGAGGTCATAGCGGGATTTCTTATAAGCGTCCGGGTTAGAGTCCCGTTCCTTGAAAGCGGCAGCTCTACCCTTTAGCTCAGTGCGGATGTTTCCTGTAATCCATGGCTTCTGGTTGGGGTATGTACGTACGGTCACTGTGGGGACGACATCATCGATGCACTTATTGATGAAGCCAGTGACTGATGTGGTGTACTCCTCAATGCTGTCTGAAGAATCCCGGAACATGTTCCAGTCTGTGCTAGCAAAACAGTCCTGTAGCTTAGCATCTGCGTCATCTGCCCACTTTTTTATTAACCGAGTCACTGGTGCTTCCTGCTTTAGTTTTTGCTTATAAGCAGGAATCAGGAGGATAGAGTTATGGTCAGATTTGCCAAATGGAGGGTGAGGGAGAGCTTTGTATGCGTCTCTGTGTGTGGAGTAAAGGTGGTCTAGAGTTTTTTTTCCTCTGGTTGCACATTTAACATTCTGGTAGAAATTAGGTAGAACGGATTTAAATTTCCCTGTATTAAAGTCCCCGGCCACTAGGAGCGCTGCATCTGGATGAGCGTTTTCCTGTTGATTTATGGCCTTGTACAACTCATTCAGTGCAATCTTAATGCCAGCATTGGTTTGTGGTGGTAAATAGACAGCTATGAGAAATATAGATGAAAACTCTCTTGGTAAATAGTGTGGTCTACAGCTTATCATAAGATACTCTACCTCAGGCGAGCAAAACCTCGAGACTTCCTTAGTATTTGATTTTGTGCACCAGCTGTTGTTTACAAATATACACAGACCGCCACCCCTTGTCTTACCGGAGTCAGCCGTTCTATCCTGCCGATGTAGCGTATAGCCCGCTAGCTGTATGAAATCCATGTCGTCGTTCAGCCACGACTCGGTGAAACATAAGATATTACAGTTTTTAATGTCCCGTTGGTAGGATAACCGTAATCTTAAGTCAGCCAATTTATTTTCAAATGATTGAACGTTGGCTAATAGGATTGATGGAAGAGGCAGTTTACTCGCTCGCCGTCGGATCCTTACAAGGCACCCCGATCTACGTCCACGATATCTCCGTCTCTTCCTCACGCGAATGACGGGGATTTGGGCCTTGTCGGGTGTCTGTATGATATCCTTCGCGGCCGCCTCGTTGAAGAAAAAATCTTCGTCCAATACGAGGTGAGTAATCGCTGTCCTGATATCCAGAAGCCCTTTTTGGTTATAAGAGACGATGGCAGAAACATTATGTACAAAATAAATTACAAATAACGCGGAAAAACACACATAATAGTACAATTGGTTAGAGGGCTGTAAAACGGCAGCCATCTTCTCCGGCGCTGTTCACATTCAGTGGCTCTGGGTGGTACACTACATGGCCAAAAGTATGTGGACACCTGTTCATATTTTTACATTTTAGTCATTTAGCAGACGCTCTTATCCAGAGCGACTTACAGTTAGTGCATACATAAAAAAAATGTCATACCCCCTGTGGGAATCGAACCCACAACCCTGGCATTGCAAACGCCATGCTCTATCAACTGAGCTACATCCCTGCCAGCCATTCCCTCCCCTACCCTGGACCAATTGCGCGCCGCCCCATGGGTCTCCCGGTCGCGGCCGGCTACGACAGAGCCTGGATTCAAACCAGGATCTCTAGTGGCACAGCTAGCACTGCGATGCAGTGCCTTAGACCACTCTAAGGAGACTACGGTACATCTCTCTGCGCCACTCGGGAGACTACATCTCATTCCAAAATCATGGGCATTAATATGGAGTTGTTCCCCCCTTTGCTGCTTTAATAGCCTCTACTCTTCTGGGAAAGTATTCCACTAGACGTTGGAACATTGCTGCGGGGACTTGCTTCCATTCAGCCACAAGAGCATTAGTGAGGTCGGGCACTGATATTGGGCGATCAGGCCTGGCTTGCAGTCGGCGTTCCAACTCATACCAAAGGTGTTCGATGGGGTTGAGGTCAGGCCTCTGTGCAGGCCAGTCAAGTTCTTCCACACCGATCTTGACAAACCATTTCTGTATGGACCTCGCTTTGTGCACAGGAGCATTGTCATGCTGAAACAGGAAAGGGCCTTCCCCAAACTGTTGCCACAAAGTTGGAGGCACAGAATCGTCTAGAATATTATTGTATGCTGTAGCGTTAAGATTTCCCTTCACTGGAACTAAGGGGCCTGGCCCGAACCATGAAAAACAGCCCCAGACCATTATTCCTCCTCCACCAATCTTTACATTTGGCACTATGCATTGGGGCAGGTAGAGTTCTCCTGGCATCCACCAAACCCAGATTTGTCCAGCGGATTCATCACTCATGAGAATGCGTTTCCACTGCTCCAGTCAACGGCGAGCTTTACACCACTCCAGTCAACGCTTGGCATTGCGTATGGTGATCTTAGGCTTGTGTGTGGCTGCTTGGCCTTAGAAACCCATTTGATGAAGCTCCCGCCGAACAGTTATTGTGCTGAAGTTGCTTCCAGAGGCAGTTTGGAACTCGGTAGTGAGTGTTGCAACCTAGGACAGATGATTTTTACGTGCTACATGCTTCAGCACTTGGCGGTCCCGTTCTGTGAGCTTGTGTGGCCTACCACTTCGTTGCTGAGCCATTGTTGCTCCTAGGCGTTTCCACTTCACAATAACAGCATTTACAGTTGAGGCAGCTCTAGCAGGGCATACCTTTTATGGAAGGACTTGTTGGAAAGGTGGCATTTGTTGTCAGCAACGGGTGTGGCTGAAATAGCCGAATCCACTAATTAGAAGGGGTGTCCACATACTTTTGGCACCGTAGTGTAATATGTAGATTACGATAAGGGAAGGGGAGGTGAGGTCAAAATCAGTAAACCACCACAGCACAGAATTTTTACAGGGTAGTTTAGGGTAACTTCGTGACTAGCCCAATAATGGGTCAAGGAGCCTAACATTACTCCTTAGTCCAAGTACCTTACATGTTGTGTTTAAAGGCGAATTGGCTCTGGAAGACAAAACAGCCAAAAACTCAATCTAAACGTGAATCGAGTCTTAATTGTGGTATGGTTCTAGAAACATAAATCCCTCATATCACATCAAAATAATTTCACAAATGCAAAATACATACTTACTGTACACTGTTTTAACCGGTTTTAAGAGAGTTGCAGCCGATAGTATTTTTCACTGACAACATGTTTGTGTCATCTGTCTTCCTTTTATAATAATAATAATAATATGCCATTTAGCAGACGCTTTTACACACAGGTGTTAAGAGATGCAGATAGCTAATTAGCACAGGTAGTTGACTTTTTTCCGTCTGTTTTCCTAAACATGCTGTAACATGGAGATATGGTCAGTATGGGAACACTAACCCTATAAAGGTGTGTATCAATAATTTACTGATAAGAAAGATAAGGTCCTTATGCTTCCAAAACCGTACCGCAAGTGATGTGTGTTAATGTTCAGACCTAGCTCTTAACAAAACTCCCGCGTAGCCTACCTACAGAAGACGCCTTTATCAATAACTTTAATGTGTAATGTAATGGAACTGAGAGTCATGATCAAGGGCTACTTCGTGACACACCAACTGCAACTTCACACATTTACCCAAACCACTGTATTCTGTGCATTTTATGTAAATTGTATTACAATACATTAGGCTTAAGTACATTTTATTTCATTACATTCTATGATGAGCAACCACACACAATATATTTTGGTAGATTTATTTTGATATTTTTTTATTGTCAAATTAACAGTGGTAGTGCCAAAAGAGGCCCCCACTGGACTACATGACGTAGATCAGAAGATGTTCGGTCAAACCCTGTCTTCTGCGCAACTTAACCACCCTCACGTGGTTATCTCTCTGCGGCATTCAGAAGGAAAACAACGTGAAGCAAGGAGTAAGCCTACTGCCTACAACCACCGCAAATTAAAAACAATTAAAATCTCATATAGACAATTATTGTAAATATTGCCAGACATTTTAATTTTCTTGGATTTAGACGGGTTATAGTGGCGCAAAAATGGTTGACTAACATCTTTACGCAGACCTGTGCCCTGCATCCTTCCATACATTTATCTATTTGGTCTCAAGAGTCGTGCAACAGGTTAGCCTACCATATGCTCACAAAACAGGAAAAGGAGCTGATCGCTCAAATCTGGGACAAAATGATTCCCGTGGCATGCGACATCGGATCTGAATCCCTTTTAAGATAGGCATATGATAATTGTAAATAACATAAAATAAATAACAAACATCTGAACTTCACTTAATATATTTATTCACTTATTATAATAGGCCTATTATATGGTTAACCTGTTCCAATAATTTTGCAATTCAATTGGGTTCATGGTCTATTTACCCAAACCTGGTGGGAATGGAGCTGACATCAGAGGTCTCTTTTGGACCTGTTGTCAGTAGGGCTGCACAATTCATCGATTTTTTATCGAAATTGCAGTACTGACGTGAAATATATCCATAGGCTATAGCTCAAGAGGCTTCAATTTTTTTAACGCCAAATGTAACGTTCAAATGTAATAAGGGTCCCCTGTGAAACTCTGACCAACACAGTCACAACAACTTCTACTGTACCTTTCATTAGTTGTCATGCCAAACAACACCAACCATAGAATTAGAATAGTAATGTTATTTCTATGATTCCAACAACTCACCCAAGGGTTTGGATCTAAATCGCAAGTAAAATCGCAATAGCAATTATTAGTAAAAAAAAAAAATTCTTTTAAATCACAAATGGATTATTTGCCCATATCGTGCATGCAGCCTTGTATGATATTATGCCCAATTCCAGACCTTTACTTTACCACTGTATTACAGAATGATGACGACTTTTCCCGGGACAAAGACATACTTCGCCCACCTGGACATCAGACCCCGGTCCCCACACCTGCTGTCACATGGGAAGACGATCGTTCTTGCGATAGCAGAGTGTTCCAAAGACATCAGTTCGATGATGGTCACCCTGGCACCGCTCCAAACACTGCATGCCTACCAACTGAGAATAGACCCTTGCAACTTCAAGGTGCCTCCCCTATTTCTTTTGATGAACTGTTCCAACAGATATTTGCCCTCCCTTAAGGAAAAAAAACACATGATTTCACATGTGGAAAATCCCATGATTTCACATGTGAAATTGTGTGAAACCATGTGGTTTTGGAACACTTCCTATGTGATGATATTTCACATGAAGTTTTACATGTGGATTTTCACATGCGATCACATAAACTTTCATATGTGGATTGAAATGTTCACATAATGCCCTGCAAACAAAAATGAGTCGTTAGGATGTTCCCAGAACGTCATGAAATAGCCAAAGTGTTTTCAACTTACATATTTGACACCCATGATTACAATGTGTTCATTTCTACAGTAATTATTATTCAACATTTCCTCACCTGGGATTTGAACTCACAAATTCTTGGTTCACGGCATTCCGATATTTCTGCCATACCACCACGCCTGTGTTAATATCTGATTTAACCAGTATTCCTACTCTTTAGACTTCAAAGGGAATCTCAGCTTTGTTAAAAATAAACTCATGAAATACTATTATATTTATCATAATGATTCAGGAGTAACATTAAAACAGAATAATATGCCCCACCAACATTAGACAACTAAAGAAAACCCTCAAATTGCTGAAATAAGTAAATAAAATCAATGATGAGAGAATAGTCAGAATAACTGATAACTAAAATAGCAGTCAGATGGTACTCTGTTGCTAAGTGCAGAGATGTACTATAGGTAAGGAATGTTTAGGGGACTTCTGAGAAAGCTACGGACTTTATGGCGCAGCAGAAAGATCAGCGTACCGCAAATCCAGAGTTTGTGAGTTCAAATTCCAGTAGGGGTCATATTGAAAACGTTAGTACTAGTGATCATGTCAAATGTAATCATATTGTCATTGATGAAATATTTGTACACTATTTTTAGCTGAACAGCATACCACTTACCTTAAAACCAACATACATACACATTTCAGTACTTCCCTTACAAAAAAAGTGAAAATTACTGTTTTCACATATTGAGCTAAAATGTTAATATGCAGCCCATAGCTCCTCCTCCTTCTTATAGCTCAATCACAGGCCTACATCATACCTTGGTGTTTTGTTTATTTCTCTCACAGCTTCTTTCTCACTGTATCCTCGTGACTTTGGCGGCTCACATGGGTGATGAGTTCACACCTGTTGCGCACGCAGCCATGGACAAGTACCTCTGGGCCTTCGCAGCCGTCCTGGCAGAGAAATACCGATAAGGATAATCATAGAAACCAAATGTTGCTGTTCCATTAACTTATTATACATATAGTATTTTATTCGTGTGCTTTTATTTTGTAATGAAACATGACAAAAACCCTTATGAGCTATCTTGTGTCATTAACACTATAATGTGGAGGAAAGCGTTACTTGTTCAGCTGTATTAAGTTCTCTCGGTCAGTAGTGACAGAGTTGCCAACTGTACTGATATAAACTAAACCATCTGCTGTGGACCATACATTTCTAATTGACAACAGAAGAATATCATTTGTTGGAGCCCCAATTAAGTATAAAGTGTATTAAAAATGTATTTTAATTAGGTTTTTACTGAACAAATCATTATTGACATCATTGTGGCGCACCGTGCGTAAAGGACACGTTTCAAAGTGGGCTATCATTTCGTAAAGTGATGTTTTGATTTTCCTGCTGGTAATATATTGGCACCTTTGCACTTTACAATGTAGTGCAATGGACCAGAATGTTCTGGTTGAATGGCTATTTTTACCCTATATGCCCCTGCAACTTACCACAGTTGATAAATTACACAGTAAAGGAGAATCACCTAGTCCAGGCCATTTTTTTTTACTTGAAGTGAAAATCTAAATCTCAGTGTTTTTTATTGTTGTCCTGTGCTGTGGTAAATCAAACAAATACATGCGTGAACAACAAACATTTTTTTAAAGTCAATATTATAGCGCAACTAGGCCTATCTGAGGCGCATCCGGCCGATGTGAGGCCCATCACGTATGTAAACATATACCATCTGAAACTATAAATTACCTTGTTATCATTTGTGTCTCTTTTTGGCAAATGTTTTATTCATCACTGATTCAAATTGTGATTATTGGCACGTTTAATAAATTAATGTCCAATCATTATTATTTTTTAAATGAACACGCAGGCATATTTATCATGGCACGAATGAAGTTAGAGAGTTCTTCTTTTTGAGCTTCATTTGGAGTCGCTAATGGGTGGAGGTATTGCTGTAGGAGATAGCACAGATGCTTGTTTTTTTTTGCAGATAAAGGGATCTACAAAGAATACGCAAACGGAGCCGACAGAGCATATAGCGCAGTGTCTCAATGTCGTTTTTCGTCACAAAAGGGGCTGCTCGTTGTAGTGCGCTCCGACATTCGACTATTCCCGTGTCACATGAAAATTGTAAAGCGCTGTATCATCCCTTCCGTAGCGGTGGGGCAGTGTTGTGTAGGCAATGAAGCTTGCTTAGTTCCTTGATCTGATATATAGGCTATTCATCAAAGTAGCCTGTTTTGCATTGATAAACAAATATAATCTCAGCGAATGTTCAAACAATAAACCAAACAAAATTGTAGCCTTCTTAGAATCTCCCCCAAAATGTATTTTGTTTGGAAGTAATAACTAGGCCTATTGATTCCAGGCTACTGGTAAAAACAGCTGCGAAATACAGTGTCTTGCAATGGTATCATACCCCTTGGATTTTTTCACATTTTATTGTGTTACAAAGTGGGATTAAACTTGATTTAATTGTAATTTTTTGTCAACAATCTACACAAAATAATGTCAAAGTGTAAGAAAAAACATATCTCCATGTGAAATAATCACATTTATACTTAAAAAATATATACTTGCCGGTGTAACCTAAAACATTATCCCAGTTTGATATGCTGCTTATGTATTCATTTCCATATCAGCTAAAAATATAAAGTCATGTTTTGGTTATGGAGAAAAAAGCACATGGCTAGCTAGTTGGCTACAGCAGGTTCTAGCATTTCACAATAGCCTGTAATCACTAGTTATTACTTCTAAACAAAATACCATAGAATTAGAATACAAATGTTATTACTATGATTCCAACAGCTCACCCAAGTGTTTTGATCTAAATCGCAAGTAAAATCCCAATAGCGATCGTGTTTTCTGTAGTGTCCTCATGTAAATAGCCTGTTTTTTAGTTTTTTTTATATATATTTCTCAATCTCACTTTCCATCCATTAACTAAATATACTTTCCTGCAACCCACCTCACCCAATGTGGAATGGATTATATTATTTCTTTATACCTTCGTATCTAGAACATCCGGCTGAAACTAGCCAGCTACTTGCTATTAGCCACCGTTAGCGGTCTTCACCATTGTCCCCCCCCCACCCCCCCCCCCCACACACACAGCGGAGTCGCTCACCCCCTTTCGGAGACATTTGAAACCCCACCTCTTTAAGGAATACCCGGGATAGGAAAAAGTAATCCTTCTACCCCCCCCCCCCCCACCCCACAGCGGAGTCACTCACCACCTTCCGGAGACATTTGAACCCCCCCCCCCCCCCCCAAATTGTAAAGTGGTTATCCCACTGGCTATAGGGTAAACGCACCAATTTGTGAGTCGCTCTGGCTAAGAGCGTCTGCTAAATGACGTTAATGTGCCCTTGAGCAAGGCACTTAACCCCAATTGCTCCTGTAAGTCGCTCTGGATAAGAGCGTCTGCTAAATGACTAAAATGTAAAATGTAAATGTAATGTCCGTGGCCTGCACTAGCTACCAGCCAGCTCTAGCCTGGACAATTATCAGCCAGTCTGCACATCGCGCTAGAGCATATCGGATTTTCTGCCGGAATCACTGGACATTAACACCGGATCATCGCAACTAGCTAGCTGCAACCGAATGGCTGTTGTTGGCTAATCACCACTCTCCAGAAGCAAGCCCCAGTTAGCCTTGAGCCAGGCCCATCTCTCGGCTATCTACCTCTCTGTCAACCGGACGGGACCCGCCGATCCATCACAACTGGTCTGCCGACGTAATCGTCTGATGTGGTTTCAACAGGCTTCCCGTTACGATGACCACGAAGATCCATCTGCTAGCCCCGGCCCGCTAGCACACGCAATCAACAGCCGTGCCTCCTGCTCGCCTGTGCCGTAGCAGCCACTGAACTGCTCCCGGACTCACCTATTGCTGTTCACTGGACCTTATGATCACTCAGCTACACAGCTGATGCCTGCTGGACTGTTCCTTTATATGTTACATTTCATTTACATTTCAGTCATTTAGCAGACGCTCTTATCCAGAGCGACTTACAGGAGCAATTAGGGTTAAGATTTTTCACCTAGTCGGCTTGGGGATTAGAACCAGCGACCTTTCGGTTACTGGCACAACGCTCTTAACCACTAATCTGCCTGCCGCCCCATCCTGTTTATCTGTTTAGTGTCGTATATGATGAATGGTGGCAATTATCGCTGTCAACAAAGAGTTCGCCATACTGCATCGTGTTAGAGGCTTTTATTAAAATCACGAATCTACAGCATAGATACAGACTCGCGATGTCCGGAGAACGGCTCCCAGATTGATATGGCCGTTCTGTCGTCTCATCGTTTACCCCCTATTTATAAACAATGCAAAGGGAGGGGCTACTCCCTTCTTCTGGCCAATCACCAGTCTCCCCTCGGCCGTCACCCTCCAAGCGGCACATTTCAAATAACATCATAAAACCTCCCCCCTCTGGCCTGAACAACCAACATTCCATTCCGTCATGAAAAACATTTAACAAAGACATAATCTTCAGATACGATATTAGCCTCAGCTCAAACTTTCATTGCCATTACCAACTGTTGTCTTAGCTCTCTCGAATAACAATTGTGATTGCTTTATGCCTATCTCCCATGTCAATATGCCTTGCCTATTGCTGTTTCGGTTAGTGCTTACTGTACTTTTTCACTGTAGAGCCCCCAGTCCCGCTCAACCTGCCTCAGATAGCTCCTTTGTCCCACCCCCCACACACGCGGAGACCGGCTCAATCAGTGCCTCCATTGATGCTATCTCTTTCATCATTACCCAATGCTTAGGTTTACCTCCACTGTACTCATATCCTTCCATATCCTTGTCTGTACATAATGCCCTGAATCTAATCTACAACGCCCGGAAATCTGCCCCTTTTATTCTCTGTACCCAATGCACTAGAAGACCAGTTCTTAAAGCCTTTAGCCATATCCTTATTCTATTCATCCTCTGTTCCTCTGCTGATGTAAAGGTTAACCCAGGCCCTGTAGCTCCCAGTATCACTCCTACTCCCCAGGCGCTATCATTTGTTGACTTCTGTAACCGAAAAAGCCTTGGTTTCTTGCATGTTAACATCAGAATCCTCCTCCCTAAGTTTGAGTTATTCACTGCGTTAGCACACTCCGCCAACCCTGATGTTCTAGCAGTGTCTGAATCCTGGCTTAGTAAGGCCACCAAATATTCAGAAATGTCCATTCCCAACTACAACATTTTCCATCTAGATAGAACTGCCAAAGGTGGCAGAGTTGCAATCTACTGTAGAGCTCTATCATACTATCCAGGTCTGTGCCCAAACAGTTTGAGCTTCTACTTCTAAAAATCCACCTTTCCAGAAATAAGTCTCTCACTGTTGCCGCTTGCTACAGCCCCCCCTCAGCCCCCAGCTGTGCCCTGGACACCATATGTGAATTGATTGCCCCCCATCTATCCTCAGAGTTTGTATTGCTTGGTGACCTAAACTCGGATATGCTTAACACCCCGGCCATCCTACAATCTAAACTAGATGCCCTCAATCTCACACAAATTATCAAGGAACCTACCAGGTTCAACTCTAAATCCGTAAACATGGGCACCTTCATAGATATCATCCTGACTAATTTACCCTCTAAATACACTTCTGCTGTCTTCAACCAGGATCTCAGCGATCACTGCCTCATTGCCTGCGTCCGTAATTGGTTCGCGGTCAAACGACCACCCCTCATCACTGTCAAACGCTCCCTAAAACACTTCAGCGAGCTGGCCTTTCTAATTGACCTGGCCTGGGTATCCTGGATGGATATTGACCTCATTCCGTCAGTAGGGGATGCCTGGTTGTTCTTTAAAAGTGCCTTCCTCTCCATCTTAAATAAGCATGCCCCATTAAAAAAATTCAGAACTAAGAACAGATATAGCCCCTGGTTCACCCCAGACTTGACTGCCCTTGACCAGCACAAAAACATCCTGTTGCGTACTGCATTAGCATAGAACAGCCCCCGCGATATGCAACTTTTCAGGGAAGTCAGGAACCAATATACACAATCAGTTAGGAAAGCAAAGGCTAGCTTTTTCAAACAGAAATTTGCATCCTGAAGCACTAACTCCAAAAAGTTTTGGGACACTGTAAAGTCCATGGAGAATAAGAGCACCTCCTCCCATTTGCCTACTGCACTGAGGCTAGGAAACACTGTCACTACCAATAAATCTACGATCATCTAAAATTTCAACAATCATTTTGCTATGGCTGGCCATGCTTTCCACCTGGCTACCCCTACCCCGGCCACCAGCTCTGCACCCTCCACTGCAACTTGCCCATGCCCCCCCCCCCCCGCTTCTCCTTCACCCAAATTCAGATAGCTGATGTTCTGAAAGAGCTGCAAAATCTGGACCCCTACAAATCAGCTGGGCTAGACAATCTTCTAAAATTAGCCGCCGAAATTGTCGCAACCCCTATTACCAGCCTGTTCAACCTCTCTTTCGTATCGTCTGAGATCCCCAGAGATTGGAAAGCTGCCGCGGTGACACTCTAGATCCAAACTGTTACAGACCTATATCCATCCTGCCCTGCCTTTCGAACGTATTTGAAAGCCAAGTTAACAAACAGATCACCGACCATTTCGAAACCCACCGTACCTTCTCCGCTATGCAATCTGGTTTCCGAGCTGGTCAAGCTGCCGCAGTGACACTCTAGATCCAAACTGTTACAGACCTATATCCATCCTGCCCTGCCTTTCGAAAGTATTTGAAAGCCAAGTTAACAAACAGATCACCGACCATTTCGAAACCCACCGTACCTTCTCCGCTATGCAATCTGGTTTCCGAGCTGGTCATGGGTGCACCTCAGCCACACTCAAGGTCCTAAACAATATTATAACCGCGATCGAAAAAAGACAGTACTGTGCAGCCGTCTTCATCGACCTGGCCAAGGCTTTCGACTCCGTCAATCACTGCATTCTTATTGGCAGACTAAATAGCCTTGGTTTCTCAAATGACTGCCTCGCCTGGTTCACCAACTACTTCTCAGATAGAGTTCAATGTGTCAAATCGGAGGGCCTGTTGTCTGGACCTCTGGCAGTCTCTATGGGGGTGCCACAGGGTTCAATTCTCGGGCCAACTCTATTCTCTGTGTATATCAATGATGTCGCTCTTGCTGCTGGTGACTCTCAGATCCACCTCTACGCAGACGACACCATTTTGTATACATCTGGCCCTTCATTGGACACTGTGTTAACAAACCTCCAAACAAGCTTCAATGCCTTACAGCACTCCTTCCGTAGCCACCAACTGCTCTTAAACGCTAGTAAAACTAAATGCATGCTCTTCAATCGAACGCTGCTTGCACCCGCCCAACCCGACTAGAATCATTACTCTCGGCGGGTCTGACTTAGAATATGTGGACAACTACAAATACCTAGGTGTCTGGTTAGACCGTAAACTCTCCTCCAGACTCACATTAAGCATCTCCAATCCAAAGTTAAATCTAGAATCGGCTTCCTATTTCACAACAAACCCTTCTTCACTCATGCTGCCAAACATGCCCTCGTAAAACTGACTATCCTACCGATCCTTGACTTCGGCGATGTCATTTACAAAATAGCCTCCAACACTCTACTAATCAAATTGGATGTCGTCTATCACAGTGCCATCCGTTTTGTCACCAAAGCCCCATATACAATGAGGGAAAAAAGTATTTGATCCCCTACTGATTTTGTACATTTTCCCACTGACAAAGAAATGATCAGTCTATAATTTTAATGGTAGGTTTATTTGAACAGTGAGAGACAGAATAACAACAAAAAAATTCAGAAAAACGCATGTCAAAAATATTATAAATTGATTTGCATTTTAATGAGGGAAATAAGCATTTCACCCCCTCTCAATCAGACAGATTTCTGGCTCCAAGGTGTCTTTTATACAGGTAACGAGCTGACATTAGGAGCACACTCTTAAAGGGAGTGCTCCTAATCTCAGCTTGTTACCTGTATAAAAGACACCTGTCCACAGAAGCAATCAATCAATCAGATTCCAAACTCTCCACCATGGCCAAGACCAAAGAGCTCTCCAAGGATGTCAGGGACAAGATTGTAGACCTACACAAGGCTGGAATGGGCTACAAGACCATCGCCAAGCAGCTTGGTGAGAAGGTGACAACAGTTGGTGCAATTATTCGCAAATGGAAGAAACACAAAATAACTGTCAATCTCCCTCGGCCTGGGGCTCCATGCAAGATCTCACCTTCTGGAGCTGCAATGATCATGAGAACGGTGAGGAATCAGCCCAGAACTACACAGGAGGATCTTGTCAATGATCTCAAGGCAGCTGGGACCATAATCACCAAGAAAACAATTGGTAACGCACTACACCGTGAAGGACTGCAATCCTGCAGCGCCCGCAATGTCCCCCTGCTCAAGAAAGCACATATACATGCCCGTCTGAAGTTTGCCAATGAACATCAGAATGATTCAGAGGAGAACTGGGTGAAAGTGTTGTGGTCAGATGAGACCAAAATCAAGTTCTTTGGCATCAACTCAACTCGCCGTGTTTGGAGGAGGAGGAATGCTGCCTATGACCCCAAGAACACCATCCCCACCGTCAAACATTGAGGTGGAAACATTATGCTTTGGGGGGGTTTTCTGCTAAGGGGACAGGGCAACTTCACCGCATCAAAGGGACGATGGACAGGGCCATGTACCGTCAAATCTTGGGTGAGAACCTCCTTCCCTCAGCCAGGGCATTGAAAATGGGTCGTGGATGGGTATTCCAGCATGACAATGACCCAAAACACACGGCCAAGGCAACAAAGGAGTGGCTCAAGAAGACGCACATTAAGGTCCACTCCTTAATCACATAGAAAATCTGTGGAGCTGAAGGTTCGAGTTGCCAAACGTCAGCCTCGAAACCTTAATGACTTGGAGAAGATCTGCAAAGAGGAGTGGAACAAAATCCCTCCTGAGATGTGTGCAAACCTGGTGGCCAACTACAAGAAACGTCTGACCTCTGTGATTGCCAACAAGGGTTTTGCCACCAAGTACCTTCATGTTTTGCAGAGGTCAAATACTTATTTCCCTCATTAAAATGCAAATCAATTTATAACATTTCTGACATACGTTTTTCTGGATTTTTTTGTGTTATTCTGTCTCTCACTGTTCAAATAAACCTACCATTAAAATTATAGACTGATCATGTCTTTGTCAGTGGGCAAACGTACAAAATCAGCAGGGGATCAAATACTTTTTCCCTCACTGTACTACCCACCATTGTGACCTGTAAGCTGTCGTTGGCTGGCCCTCACTACATATTCGTCGCCGAACCCACTGGCTCCAGGTCATCTATAAATCACTGCTAGGCAAATCCCTGCCTTATTTTAGCTCATTGGTCACCATAGCAACATCCACCTGTAGTATGCCCTCCAGCAGGTATATCTTACTGGTCATCCCCAAAGCCAACACCTCCTTTGGCCGCCATTCCTTCCAGTTCTCTGCTGCCAATGACTGGAACGAACTGCAAAAATCTCTGAAGCTGGAGACTCTCATCTCCCTCACTAACTTTAAGCATCAGGTGTCAGAGCAGCTTACCGATCACTGCACCTGTACACAGCCCATCTGTGATTAGCCCACCCAACTACCTCATCCCCATATTGTTATTTATTTTGCTCATTTGCACCCCAGTATCTCTATTTGCACATCATCTTCTGCACATCTATCATTCCAGTGTTAATACTAAATTGTAATTATTTTGCACTATGGCCTATTTATTGCCCTACCTCCATAACTTACTACATTTGCACACACTGTATATAGATTTTCTATTGTGTTATTGACTCTACGTTTTGTTTATCCCATTTGTAACTCTATGTTGTTGTTGTTTTTATCGCACTGCTTTGCTTTATCTTGGCCAGGTCGCAGTTGTAAATGAGAACGTGTTCTCAACTGGCTTACCTGGTTAAATAAAGGTTAAATATAAAAATAAAATTAAAATAAAAATAGCAATTATTTGTAAACAACAACAACAAAAAATCACAATTAGATTATTTGCCCATATCGTGCATGCAGCCCTAGTATGATAGTACGCCCAATTCCAGACCTTTACTTTACCACTGTATCACAGGATGATGACGACTTTTCCCGGGACAAAGACATACTTCGCTCACCTGGACATCAGACCCCGGTCCCCACACCTGCTGTCACATGGGAAGACGATCTTTCTTGCGATAGCAGAGTGTTCCAAAGACATCAGTTCGATAATGGTCACCCTGGCACTGCTCCAAACACTGCATGCCTACCAACTGAGAATAGACCCTTGCAACTTCAAGGTGCCTCCCCTATTTCTTTTGATGAACTGTTCCAACAGATATTTGCCCTCCCTTAAGGAAAAAAACACATGATTTCACATGTGGAAAATCCCATGATTTCACATGTGAAATTGTGTTAAACCATGTGGTTTTGGAACACTTCCCATGTGATGATATTTCACATGAAGTTTTACATGTGGATTTTCACATGCGATCACGTAAACTTCAATATGTGGATTCAAATGTCACATGATGCCATGCAAACAAAAATGAGTCGTTAGGATGTCCCCAGAACGTCATGAAATAGCCAAAGTGTTTTCAACTTACATATTTGACACCCATGATTACAATGTGTATGTTCATTTCTACAGTAATTATTATTCAACATGTCCTCACCTGGTATTTGAACTCACAAATTCTTGGTTCATGCATTCCGATATTTCTGCCATACCACCACGCCTGTGTTAATATCTGATTTAACCAGTATTCCTACTCTTTAGACTTCAAAAGGAATCTCAGCTTTGTTAAAAATAAACTCATGAAATACTATTATATTTATCATAGTGATTCAGGAGTAACATTAAAACAGAATAATATGCCCCACCAACATTAGACAACTAAAGAAACCCCTCAAATTGCTGAAATAAGTAAATAAAATCAATGATGAGAGAATAGTCAGAATAACTGATAACTAAAATAGCAGTCAGATGGTACTCTGTTGCTAAGTGCAGAGATGTACTATAGGTAAGGAATGTTTAGGGGACTTCTGAGAACGCTACGGACTTTATGGCGCAGCAGAAAGATCAGCGTACCGCAAATCCAGAGTTTGTGAGTTCAAATTCCAGTAGGGGTCATATTGAAAACGTTAGTACTAGTGATCATGTCAAATGTAATCATATTGTCATTGATGAAATATTTGTACACTATTTTTAGCTGAACAGCATACCACTTACCTTAAAACCAACATACATACACATTTCAGTACTTCCCTTACAAAAAAAAAGTGAAAATTACTGTTTTCACATATTGAGCTAAAATGTTAATATGCAGCCCATAGCTCCTCCTCCTTCTTATAGCTCAATCACAGGCCCACATCATACCTTGGTGTTTTGTTTATTTCTCTCACAGCTTCTTTCTCACTGTATCCTCTTGACTTTGGCGGCTCACATGGGTGATGAGTTCACACCTGTTGCGCACGCAGCCATGGACAAGTACCTCTCGGCCTTCGCAGCCGTCCTGGCAGAGAAATACCGATAAGGATAATCATAGAAACCAAATGTTGCTGTTCCATTAACTTATTATACATATAGTATTTTATTCGTGTGCTTTTATTTTGTAATAAAACATGACAAAAACCATTATGATTTATCTTGTGTCATTAACACTATAATGTGGAGGAAAGCGTTACTTGTTCAGCTGTATTAAGTTCTGTCGGTCAGTAGTGACAGAGTTGCCAACTGTACTGATATAAACTAAACCATCTGCTGTGGACCATACATTTCTAATTGACAACAGAATAATATCATTTGTTGGAGCCCCAATTAAGTATAAAGTGTATTAAAAATGTATTTTAATTAGGTTTTTACTGAACAAATCATTATTGACATCATTGTGGCGCATGGGCACTCCATGCCCCAGGTAGAAAGCCAAATGGCATCGTGCGTAAAGGACACGTTTCAAAGTGGGCTATCATTTCGTAAAGTGATTTTTTGATTATCCTGCTGGTAATATATTGGCACCCTTGCACTTTACAATGTAGTGCAATGGACCAGAATGTTCTGGTTGAATGGCTATTTTTACCCTATATGCCCCTGCAATTTACCACAGTTGATAAATTACACAGTAAAGGAGAATCACCTAGTCCAGGCCATTTTTTTTACTTGAAGTGAAAATCTCAATCTCAGTGTTTTTTATTGTTGTCCTGTGCTGTTGTAAATCAAACAAATACATGCGTGAACACCAAACGTTTTTTTCAACGTCAACTTATTTAGGAAATAATGAATCGTGCAAGGGTGCCAATATATTATAGCGCAACTAGGCCTATCTGAGGCGCATCCGGCCAATGTGAGGCCCATCACGTATGTAAACATATACCATCTGAAACTATAAATAACCTTGTTATAATTTGTGTCTCCTTTTGGCAAATGTTTTATTCATCACTAATTTAAATTGTGATTATTGGCACGTTTAATAAATTAATGTCCAATCATTATTCTTTTTTAAATGAACACTCAGGCATGTTTATCATGGCACGAATGAAGTTCGAGAGTTCTCCTTTATAAGCTTCATTTGGAGTCGCTAATGGGTGAAGGTATTGCTGTAGGAGATAGCACAGATGCTTGTTTTTTTTTGCAGTATAGTATCTGAAGATTATGCCTTTGTTAAATGTTTTTCATGAAGAAATGGAATGTTGTTTGTGTTAGTAGCAAGAGGGAATGTTTTGGGTGTGACGCCAAATACAACAGACCGGAAGTGTCTTGTAGACAGGGGAGACTGGGGATTGGCCAGAAGAGGGAGTTTCATTGTTTATAAATAAGGGGGTTAGGCGAGGAAGACGTCAGAACGGCCATGGCAATCGGGGGAGCCGTTCTCCGGGTGTCATGTCACCTGTCATTTATGCTGTAACCTCGTGATTTTAATAAAAGCCTCTAACACGATGCAGCATAAAACGGACTCTTTGTTGACAGCAATAATGACCACCATTCATCAGATACGACATAATGGCGCCCAACGTGGGGCTGGGTTTGCGTCTCTTCCTTGTTTCAGTCAACCGCCAGGCTAACTCCCTTTGAAGCATGGCCAAAAATGGTGAGTGTTTCTTACCGCTTCGGAGTTTGTTAGATTGGATACGACTTGTGTACACTGGAGAGATGTACCATTTCGACCTTGCCTCGGGTGGTGTTGTTGCTGTTGACTAGAGTCTGCTAAAATGTTATTCCATTGAAACGGCAGATAATTGGAATGTAGAGCATAAAACGGTAGGATTTAAGTATTGAAGTGTACGATTAAGGCAGATATGCGCATTCTTTAGGGCACTGTACCATTTAAGACCTCCAGGGGGGGCCATTTTAGATGTTGGGCCGGCAATCCGTTTACACGATAGAATGGGTGGACGGTGGGTTTTTTCTTTTTAAAGAGAGCTCGGATTAAGGAGGTTTATCTGATTGTGATTATGATTTGACTCTCGTCCGACGGGGTGTTTGATTGGGTCTGATTTCTCGGTGTAATGGTCATTAGTCCCGGTAGCAAAAACGGTAGGATAAATATGTTTAAAATTGATAGGGCAGTGCAGGTTACTTAGGGCTGGGTAGGCCGCAGTTAGCTAGAGGCTAATGCTAAATGCTAATTGTGTTGTGTGCTACATGCTAACGTATCCTTAGAGACTCCATTGCGATGGATTAAAGTCTCTTAAATTTGTCTCTGTGTGTAAGTCAGGTTATATGTTTTGTGAGCGCTGTTAAATGTTGTTTGACTATAAGGGGGAAACGGGAGTTACAGCTGGAGTGTTATTCTATCTGTTTGGGGAGAGAGAGTAGAGAATCTTCATTTCACGGTGAAAAGGTATTTTTGAATGGATGTGCGCATGTGCTTGATTTTACGGGGCTAAAACTACGACATGCGGTTGTGCTAAGCCTACAAAACAAAATGGTGGGTACAGGTCATAGGTCCCATTTGGCGTTACCCTGCAAGGGGGAAATGGACACAGACAAAAGAGGAGAGATTTTAACACGAATATTCTAGTTTAAACGGCGATGGTTAAAGATGAAACTTGTTTTGTGACCTATTGAATTTATACATTAAATATATGTTGGCGAAGTATAAGGAATTGAATTAAATAATTAAAAGACGATTAAAATTAAATAAAAATGTTTTTGAGCGATCTATTTAGTTCTGATTTTAGTCTTAGAGTGAATAATGGGTGAAGGAAGGAATATTGAATGGTTGGAAATACTCAGTGATGGCATTAACTACTAAAAGCTGTTTCTGTGTCTTTGTCCCTTGTCATGAGAGACAGGAGAGAGGGGGAGCGAGGAGATACAGGAAGTGATCACGTGACGCGGCAGAGGATCAAGTCAAAAAATAAGGTTTTGAGACTGTTACAAGATATGTGATGTTATGACAATTTTACATAGGCTTGGCAAATACTATTTCATTAAAAATTGCATTTTGGAAGCTCTGTATCACTGGGGTTTGATTACAGATGTGTTGGGAATCAAGGATGGATTGAGGATTGTTCTGTAAATAAGATAATTAGAGCTGATAGAGTAAGGGGTTTATGGGAATTGGAGTAATGATAGGGTTAGAGGCTTTGTTTTTGGGGGATTGCTTTGAAGTTGACTAACTTCATTTACTTGCATTTGATGGGTTGTGGTAAGATAGCCAACACTAATTGATATTGGTGACATAGGAATAAAAATTGGGTTTAATTATTCAGGATTTTTAATGGATTTGTTAGTTTTATATTAATAATTTAAGGGGGGAAGCCTTAGGCTATACAGTCTAAAATAAGCTAATTCATAATAAAGGAATATAAAAGAGTTGTTACAAGGGGGAGAAAGGACAGCAAGGCTAGAGGAAGGTGATTACACCGATTGATATAGGGGTGAAATAGTAATCCTTTAATTAAAGTAGGGTTAGAAAGTAGGGTTAGAAAAACTAATGGCAGAAGTTAGTACACCTTTCTCACATACGGATTCAGCAAAAAGTACAGCTTAGGGATGTTTATCCTCAGCTTTCAGTGATCATCCAGCAGGGTGATTATGGCATCAGAGATGAAGACGAATAATAGATAGAGGACAAGCAGAAACGACGATGAAGATGAATTCAAAACTCCAGAAGGAAGAAAATGTGATGTATGGAAGAGAAGAGTGAGGTTAAAGAAGACGAGGAGGATGAAGATGAGAGTGATGATGAAGAGGTCATGCATGGGTGGATATGACTCTGTGATCAGATGGAAGTTGAAGGAAGAAGGATACACGAGATTTGATCTCTGATGGAAGTTGAAGATGAAGAAAAGAGGGAGATTAAGGGTGCTTTATGTTCAAGAGGATTTTATCCTCCAATGACTGGCGAAGAAGAAATAGGAGATATAGACCGATGCTTATCATGCCTGGATAAAGCAAATAGTTTAGAAGTAACACAGCTGAAGATACAGAAGAGGAGAAACTGCTGAGAGGAGTCCAAGAATTGGAGAAGAAGAAAGAACAGGACGAAGAACTCTGAAAACTCAATCATACAACGGGTGGAGAAGATAAGTTTTGGTTATGAAGAATCAGAGTGAACCAAATCAACAATCACTGTTACAGCTTTAACTGAACAATATCAAATGCAATTGTACCAGCCAAGGGGGTACCAGGTGATTCATATCCAAAGCCAGTTTCTGGACAGACACAGAATTGACGAGAAAAATAGAAGGAGGAGGAAGATTTCAGCTACACTTTCAGCAACTTTCAGAAGACTGTTATAATTGTGGACAGATTGGTTACTTTACCTGGGATGGAAATGCGCCAGGAGAAAACAACAGAGGAAGATAAAGGAGCAAGTGAAGATCACCTGTTAGTGTCTAGAAGAGACGAAGGGGGGTGTCAGCTGAGAGAATCGATTAGAGAAGAAGAGAAAATAGCTAACAATTGAAGTTAGGGAATCAATGGAGCTCTGCTATAAAAATCAAAGAGAAATCAAAATAGACATACTAATATTAGAAGATACTGTTATGGCAGTGTTGGGAAGAGATGCATTGTTTAAATTGAATTGTACAATAAGATGTACACTAGACGACTGGGTTTTTGGGAATCATTTGCTTAAAAACGATAATATCATAGGAAGGATGATAATCTATTGTTCTGTCTATTAGACAATCTGTCTGGAAAAATAAAGTTAAAAGGGGTGACTATTATTCTGGGTTACATTCTTACACTAAGAGATTTCAGGCTAGGCTAAAAGGTGTTTAGTCGTTTGCCAAGGTGTGTAAAAAGTCAAAGGCAGGTGGGGAACTTTCCCAATCACATATTCTAAACATTTGGTGGTAAGGGATTGTGTGAAAAATCAGGGGGAAAAGTTGTAAATGTTATGAGAGAAAAGATTAGATTAAAATAAGTTAGGAGTAGATTAGGGTTGAAGGAACTCTGAGACAGTAAGCTAAGTTTCAAAGTTAGTAGTAAGACAGAGAGAGAACCAGTGGTGAATGACATTTTTAGAAGTTTAGTGGGAAGATATGGTAGGAGGTTAGATCTGTTAGGGGCAGATGCATTGAG